GTTGCTCGTTTGTTGTGCGTATTTTTAATAAGTTGATTTTGCCGTCGCTTCGGTATTATTTTGCATAAATTATGCAAGCGCCTGTCATTTGTCTGCTCTAGCACAACAAGGACAACAGCATTTTAAAGTTTGAACACCACTGAGAAACTGTTGACGTGTGTGTGTCACTGCATGCACGCATGTGTATGTGTATGTGCGTGCACGCGTGTGTGGCTTGGTCGGTGGGTGGGGTGTTGTTTTATTAATGAGCTGAACCAAATTAACTTTAATATATGTGTGTTTAAATGTTGAACAAGTGTATACTACTTTATGCCCACTCTTCACTCTTAATACCCTGCACTCATTAGACATGGTCAGCATGCGAGGGGTATATTGCATATATAGCTGACATGGCATACCCTCGAATGGACGTGTATGCATATTACTGGATCACCCTCGCCAGATGAGTTGCACTACGCGTATTTGTCGCTATTTTCTGCCATCGATTTAGTTGTTTAAACATCCCACTGCCTCTTCGATATTTTGTTGGAATTTTGGCATTTATTTTGCTTTTTATTGTATATCGATATTTATCGATCAACTAAACAGTTTTGTATATATGTCAATCTCGATTTTTATTATTCACCTGATCAATACAGTAGTTTTCCTCTGTATCTCGAAGGCTTGTAATACCACTTTAAATTTAGATAATGTTTAAATATTAGATATATGTATATATACCTCTCAAAGTGAGATCTACTTGTCTACACAGTCTTTACTTGGTGCAGATGCAGCATCACAGAAACTACCAAAAATATGGCAGGGTATCTTCGAGTCGAGCAGTCTAGTGTAGCGCAGTATTACTTGGTACTGTTTTTCATTGGTCTGGCATTTATCATTTATAATTGTTTGGCTGTGTGTCAACCATTTGGCCATTGCGGTCTCCTGTCCACTTGGCGCGTGGCGGAGCTGACGATGGAGTGGGAGGCATGGCAGATGGCGGATGGCGGATGGCAGAAGGCGGAAGGGGCGTGACCATATTCTTTGTGCATTTCACATTTTGACACTTTGACATGCATTAAATCAGTCAAGCGTTGGCCACTTTGAGCTCCATGACTTTGCGGTACAGCTGTCTGTCTCGCTTTCGCCAACGCCCTGTAACTATGTAGCTGCCCTCTCCATCCCATATTCTGTCTCTCTCGCTCTCCCTTTCTCTTTTACTCATTTCATGTCTCCCTTTCTCGCACTCTATATCTTGCTGTCTTGCTCTCATGCGCTGTCGGTGCTGCAGCAGAGTTTTAAGGTGACCACAGTTTGCATATTTAATTGCTGCAGTTTTGGGCTGACCATCATTTCATATTAATGAGCCAAACCAATGACAACTTTTGGCCCAAATGAGCATGTAAATGCGTCGAAATCATGTCATTAATATCATTCCGAATGCAACATCCAGCAGCCAGCACATATGTATACAAACTAAGCCCGGACTTAGCCCGCCCACACGAATTGCAACTGCATTTCGTATTCAAGTTGATGATAAATTAATCAAAGGAACAAAAGCTTGAATATGCTAATGTGGGCTAACCCTTTGTTGTTTTGCGAGCAACTGTCAATCGCAACCGATTTGTAATCTGCATGTCAAATAGAAAGCCCAACATTCAAATCATAAAGCACAGCCAATTAAAACTCACCCTGATTGCACCTCGAGGAGGCGTTGCTAACTTGACGACATGCTCCTGTCACAATTACATTCAGTTTTAACATGTGATGGACAAGCACTTATCAAAATGCGGGCATTCATAGGCAGATATAAAAGTGGTTGCATGATGACAACTACTTTTTGTCTCTCTTCCACTAATTCCTCTCTCAGTCTCGCTTGTGCATCAGGTGTAAATGATGTATAGCTATCCCTACAATCAGATGTATGTATAATATGTGTGTAGTGCTCAATATTATAATAGATGTGTAGGCCCTTTGACTCCTGCTCTCAACTTAGACTGCTCTTCAAGATTGGTGCATACATACGTTGCATCTCCAATGTGATACATACATCGCATTCTCATTATCTCTCTCTCTCTCTCTCTCTCTTGCTATATCTCTATCTCTTTCTCCAGCTATCCCTGTTTGCGCCTTATCGAACTGAGCTCAATATATTATAACCCATTTACTTCGCTCTCGTCTTCTTTGTGTCAATCTCCTTTTTCATTTTGCCGTTACTTATGCTCATTCACTCTCACCTTTCATCTATTTCTCGAATTCAATCAGTTCGCTCCTTCTTTTATCCCCATTTCCCCTCTCTCCCTGCATCTCACCCTACACTTTATCTTGTCTCCCTAGATTTTTCTATCTATCAAAATCAATTACTTCACTCCACTATCTATTTCTCTTTCTCGCCATCTCTATCTCTGTTTCCTTCCCTCGCTCTTACTTATTCTGTTTCCCCTTTCCTATGTCCTCCTCCATCTATATCTCTCATTGTATATCCCCTTACATCACTCCCTCAATATTAAGAGCCCCTCTAGCTCTCTACCTCCCAATTTCGCTCTCCCCCTGACTTTTTCTCTCTCCCCCTCTCAATCTTTACCTTTTGCCTTACCTCTCATTAGCTTCTCTCTCCCTTCATCCCCCTTTATTGGCTCATTGCCACACACTTTTGCCCCTCTTCTCTTTATCTTCGCCCAATACGAGCACCTGTGCTACCGACTTCTCTCTTTTCGTTTTTGTTCTCGTTTTCTCTCTCTATCTCTCTTTCGCTCGTCCTATCCCTTTCTTTGCGAGATCGTAAAGCCGAGGGGCAAGGTTTTGACCAGGCGAAACGTTAAAATTTATAACATTTCGCTTAGTCGATGCTTTGTAAATTTATGTGCATGTAGTTTCGAAATTTGTGTATATGTTAATTGCGACAAGGGAATAACGGTGCCAAAATATGTACACGAAATTTATGGATAAAACATGGCAATTGCTTTACTCGCCTTATTTATTTATATATATGTATGTATATATAATTTTTTTTGTCGTCTTTTTTCTTGCTCTTCTTTTTTTCTCGCTTAACATTTTCGACTTGTAGCAATTTATCATAATTTTGCTTGTTGTTGTTGATGTTGTTGTTTTTGTTTCGCCTTTGGCATAAATCAGGCGAAAATGCAAACTCCAAGACGCAAGCAAAAGCGAAAGGCCAAATGCAAGAGGGGAAGGAGGATAAAGGGTGGGAGATGAGGGGATAGACTGTGTAGCCTGCCTATAGTTGTTGTAACTGTTGTTGCTGCTGCTGCGGCTGAGACTGCGGCTGCGGCTGCGACTGCGGCTGCGGCGGCTTCTGTTGTCGTTGCCTTTGCCTTTGGCTTTATTTCTGTAGCTACCACAAGACGACATTAAATGGGGCTAAGCAAAATAGAAAGAGGCAAAAAGGCCAAAAGCTGCAACATTGCGTTTGGCTTTCGTGTCACTGCCTTAATGCTAATTACCGTTACCCTTCGGCAGATCCCAATTACAGCGCCCAAATTGAATCTGTTTCAATTAATATGCGCAGTCGCATTATATAAATTACACGAAATGAGAATGAAATGCGTGACGTTTTTGCCGTTACGAGCTCCTCGATCACAGGACCGTTAGCGGCTAACACGCTCTCGCTCTAAAGCCATTCGTAGCTAACGGTTTTTCGCTGCCACTGCTGCTGCTGCTGCTAGCACTTGTCGCCTGCTCATTAAATTCGCGCTGCCTAACGGCGCTTGGACCACATGAAATATGTGAACGCACAGTGGGATCAAATGCGAGCGTGAGGCGAGCCAAATGTATGCAATATCAGATATGTATATACAGTTATTTGGAGCATGTCAAATGTAGGCACTTACCCTAGAGCCTGTGGACAGTGTGCGAGCGGCGCTGCCAACTGTTGGCAAATTTATGCGCTGCTGCTGCTGCTGCCGCTGCCGCTGCCACCGCTGCTGCCACTGCCGGCGCTGCTAGTACTGTCCGTGGGGGACAGCGACAAAAGGACACGGCGCTAAGGACAACGTGTGCAAATGAGTTTTGTTTATGCGCGCCGTTCGCGGGGCCTGTCACTTGATTTATGGTGTGACCAAAACACTTTAAGATGCTGCGGCGCCACTTTCAGCTTATAGGTTTTATGACCAACAACAGTTGTTGCTTTCACTCTTGCTTTTGCTCTTGTTGTTATTATTATTATTATTATAATTAGTGTTGATGTTGTCGGTGTGCGAACTATAGTCGCTGACTGTGGCGGCGACGCCGTCTGCACGTGGCGTCCAAATCTGTAGCCATGGCATCGGCCAGGCTTTGTTTTTGTTTATGGTTTGGCACAATTGCGATTGTCCACCCACAGCTGGACACTTCAGATGACGACACCACCGACACCACTATGTGACAAACTATTTAATTGATTTATTTGTGTTTCTGACACTGCACTCACACTCACACCACAGAAACAAAAAAAATTTATAATAATAATTACATATGCACGTGATAGAAGTCTTATATTTGATGTAGGCGTGTTGATAATTTATTTCTCTATTGCGTGCGCAGCATCCGATTGGCGTTGAGGTTTACAGCTAACTGTAGTTTAGCCGATTCAAAATCAAGCTGGCTCCATCGGAATTCGCAACACAGCAAAATACCAAAAGTACCCGTATCAATAGTATTTGGTATTTTTTCTGTAATATCGATACATAATAGTGGTATATTGCTGTTAAGTGTCTTGTATGGCATGGCGCACTCTGTTAATTTTCAATTATATAACATTTATGACTTATTTAATTGATTGTTCATCACTCTTCGAAGCGAAAAACAATAAATTGCATAATTGTAAACTAACATGTAATTTATAAAACAAAATTAGGCCAACCATAGATTCAAGCAATTAAAATTATGCTGTAATTTTTAAATTTTCATTTCGATTTGTGTGTGCCCGTACGATATACCAAATACTAGTATTTTTCTCTGGTGATTCGCACGATAATCAACACACAAGTCGATAACAAGTTAAACACGATAAGCAATTGCGATTGGCAATCGACACAAGTACAACTACGTGGCTGCCGCTGTTTAGAAAATAGTCGTCAATTTCCACGCAAGATAGCGAAAAAAAAATCGAGTTAAACAAAGACGCCAGAATGCAAGAAACGGTTGCCAAAGTACTGTTAACATTATGTGGCCTATTACTCCTATCAAGAGGCAGCCAGGCCTTTATCGTTAGTGTTGATGCGCACAATGAGGAATGTTTCTTCGAGAATATCGAAGGTGGCACGAAATTCGGTGGGTAAAATATTGCACTTAAACGACATTGCCCCATTAACAGTTGACGATTGCAGGCGTTACGTTTGAGGTGATCGAAGGCGGCTTTCTGGATGTGGACATCAAAGTAACCGGACCCGATCAGCACATCATGCACGAAAGCGAAAAGGAATCGTCGGGTAAATACACGTTCGTTGCGCCCACTAAGGGCGTGTACACCGTGTGCTTCAACAACGAGCGCAGCAGCATGACACCCAAGCTGGTCATGTTCTCCATTGAGATGGGCGACTCACCGCAGCGCTTGCCCGGCGCACCCGGCGAGGAGGAGGTGGGCCACACCAAACTAGAGGACATGATCCGTGAGCTCTCCGGCACGCTGACCAGCGTCAAGCACGAGCAGGAATACATGCACGTAAGTACCATATATACTTGCCCAATCCACATGGAGCATTCCTCCACTCACACTTGATGCGCTCGCTTGCAGGTGCGCGACAAAATCCATCGATCCGTCAATGAGAGCACCAACTCGCGTGTTGTCTTGTGGTCCACCTTTGAGGCCTTGGTCCTAGTCCTGATGACAGTCGGCCAGGTGTATTACCTGAAGCGCTTCTTCGAGGTCAAGCGCGTGGTGTAATACCAGCTACTCCTCCTCGTCCTCGTTTTTGCGTGTATAGAGCGAATGTGTTGCAGTCTCAGCCTAATTTTAATACAAATTATTAAATACTTTTTTTCGTAAAAAACATTAAGCAACATGCTAACCATTCAATTTTTCAACTCATTTCAACTTTGCTGACCCTTTAAGACATTCATAACGGAGAAGAGTATTATCCATACTCCACACTTTTCCACATATTCCTGTCATTTCCCTCGTAGACTGTTTAAGAACTTTATAGTGTGCTTCAGGCAGGGCACGCGGATATGATGAAGTGCAACCTAGCATAAATTTGGATATGATGTGAATAGCAGTAGCCTAGCAGGAATGGATTTCAAACTTCTTCCATATCAGGCGCTTATACTTTATAGATCTATTTGTACATTTTTGATTAGAACCATTTATTTATATGTGAAATATATCATTCAAATATACAATCTAATGTTATCCACTTATAGCATAAATTCCAATCACGTTTCAGCTTAGCTTCAATTCAAACATTACAAATCTTTCACAGTCAAAGCTAACAATTAAATTTAAAATGTCGCGCTTAGTCTTTGGCATAGTTGCACATTTAAAATGTTACATAAAATCGTAGTTAAATTTGAGCAGATAAGAATAGTTGACGTGACTAGCACAAATATGACAAGGATAAGCATGGGAGACAAGAGATAAATAAATTAGTATGCCTGCACTACATATATATAGAGTATATATGTATAACAACAGTAGAGTAAATACATTTACATCTACGTATGACTCCTCAGAGATCGCGGTTAAGCATCTTCTCGGCATAGTCCGATATGTGGAGCACGCCATGCTGCATGGAGGCAATATGCAGATTGTTGCCACTCATGTAATCCTTGTTAATGTGTGCATTCAGCAGCTCGGTTATGAGCGTGCAGCAGGCGGCAGCCGGATCGCTGCTGCTGACGAGCGATTTCTAGGGTAGGCAAATGAGAGAGTAAGGGAGAGCGCAGATTCAGACAATATACTTCAATACTTGCCGACCAGAACTCGTTGCCCGGCAGGGCGTTGCCATCCCAGGCATAGGTAACAATGGGTAGCATGGGCTCCTTGAGCTTGTCGGCCGGATTGCGTACAGAGATGCGCACCTGGATGCCGCCCTGTGGATGCGTGGGCTCCTCTATGCAAGCGCCATCGAACAGCCCACCCCATTTGTCCAGATGGAACCAGGAGAAGTGCACAACGCCAATGTGGGTGAGCTTAGCGCTGAGCGCACGCAGACGCTGCTCAAAGGTCTCCAAAAAGATTTCCTCCTGCTCGTCCAACACCTTCCATACGCCCAGGCCAATGCCCACAACATGGATGTACGCCGGCTTGCCGGCGGAAGCGGCACGTGCCTCCGCCTCCAGGAGCAGCGTATCGAAGCTGATGGCGAAGCGCTTGCCCATCACCTGCTTGTCGAACTTGATGTCGTGTTTCAGCTGTATGAAGCGTTTACCGTCTGCCTGCACATCGTTGAAGCGAAAGTCTTTGGGCTCCTCGTAGAACTGGCGCCAGAGACGGCGATAGTCCTGCACCCGGTTCTCAGCAGATCCCGAGTGGCCGTAGCCTCGCTTGGCCGTATTCTGCTCGCGCGTTATGAAGATATCCTCGCACTCCATCACATTACTGCGTCCGAAGCGCGACCCGATCAGCCCCATGATGATGCCGTCCGTCTCAATCCTCGACTTGTCCTGCTCCACACGACCGGCATTCGTGCGCGAGCCATCGTTGATGAACTCCGAGTACGTGGAGGCATAGAGTAGAGCCGATAGCTTGATCTCGTCATAGCTCAGCACGTTCTTCAGCTCGAGTGGAGCACTCTCGCTCATGGTGCCAACCTGCTCAAAGCCCCCATAGCCCATGCTGCCGTCCAGCAGCATAAAGGCATCCAACATGCCGACGAAGTAGACGCAACGCTTCTCCAGCAGCCGCTGCACAAATTGCGGAAGCGTGATGTCCTTATAGACGCTCAATTCCTTCGGATTGCCTGTCGATTGATAGAAACACACATACATACATAAATATAGGAACTATAGGAACTCTCCCTCTCTCTCTCTGCCTCACTCTCTCGCTGTTAAGGACTAACCAAACTTCAGCTTGTGCTCCAGAAAGTCCATGTAGAGAAACAAGACCTGCTCGTGTATGATGGGATAGGCAGATGCTATTTGCTGTCGTATGTGTGGCCTTCGCTCCACTGGCTGCGACTTCACCCGACCGGCATCCGTGCCGAACTGCAAGCAAGGAATCGATGAGATGATCTTTGGAATTTCATATTCGTTGCGTGTGTTTACCGGAATGGGAAACTTATCGGAGATGGACATGAACGCTTCCAAGTCGACGGCATCGGGCTGCTGGCTGGGCTTGGCCAGATCCTTGCACAGGACCAGCTGTTGCTTGACAAAGTCGCTGAGCACAGGCAAATGTCCTGCCGCCGGGTTGGGCCAAAACTCGGATACACTATAACCACTCATTCTTCTGAGTTGAATTTTTTGACTCAAGTCCTGAAAGAATTTCTGCATTTTTCACTAAGTTTTAGGAAATTGCGAATTTATGCACGAGTCTCCTCGAAGTCTATGAGCGAAAATGTGAAAACAAAGCAAATAAATTTGAATCATTTTCTTATTATACATGTACAAGTACTGCTGCCCTACGTCAGCCACTGGAAATTTCACCACACTGTCCAATCTATCGATATCGATATCGACCAGACTATTGCATACCCTTAACTGTAAAAATGCTCGCAGAGTTATTAAATTATGTGCAAAACGAAAAGATATGTGCATATTACGATTTATTTTACTTGCAAAATATATATACATATATATATATTATTTTTCTTGCCACACTTACCACGATGAGTCAAGTGGCAGCAAGTGGACCGTCGATCAGACCTGTTGCCATGCAGCAGCCAGCAACAAGTCGATATACCCGCTGTGAGCTCTGCGTTTGCAGCGTACGCTTCCATTGTTTATAAAATGCCGCACGAAATCGCATTTGCTATTAGTTTACTATTAGGTGTGATTGTGAAATTGACGAATTGACAACATGTCCACGTTCGGAGCCGAAGTCGATGCAATTTGGCCAGCAGTGGAATCTGCGCCACCGGCGCTGAGTCCCTTCGGGCGACGGCTGCTGGAGCAGTGTAAATCCGTGGAACAACCGGATCCTGAGGCAACTGTCGATGTCTGCGCCTTTATGCGGAAGTCTACCCAGTTTCCGCTGGAGGTGCGTAGTACTCCACACAAGTCATTCTCAATTGAAGTGAAATTGACATAATTTCAACAATTTCACAGTTCGGCGTGGAGACGTGCCGAGTGCAGAGTCAGCCAAGGGATCGGCACGCGTTGATTGGCAAGCAGATTGCCTCCGTCTACCCGCTGATACACGAGCGCACCTTGGCGCTCTACCTGGCCTACCTGGAGCACAAGGGGCAGTGGGGTAAGCGAGTGGGTGAATATTATCCGCTGCTCACATTGTTAATCTGAGCTTTCGATTGATTCCGACTGAGCGCAGGCAACGCTGTGGAGCTGCGCGTCTATCGACAGCTGTCGCTGGTGGACTTTGTGCAGCGTCTGCTGAGCAAGCGCTGCGCCAGCTTCTTTGCGCGCAACGACAAGTTCTTGCTGGTGACGGGCGAGCGGGGAGCGAGCGGCTTTGAGCCGATTGGCAGCCTGAAGGAGCAGGCGCCGCTGCAGCTGGAGCACGTGCTCAGCTATGACGAGATCAAGCTGTCGGCCCTGCTCTCGGTCAGCTCGCACACGGAGTTCATCAACGAGGGCGAGCGCACCAATTGCGGCCGTGTGACCCACAACCGGAAGAGCCTCGAGACGGACGGCGTGATAGTGGGTATGATTGGTGCGCGACTCTCGCGTCGCAATCTGATGGAGTTCCAGGACATTGTGATAGCGCGCACGCAAAACACCCCGGAGAATGGCTACGGGCATGATGTTGATGCGCCCGCCAACAGCCGAGCGGAGGACTATCGCCGGATCTGGCGCAGCTTCTATGAGACGCGCGACTTCCTGCGCAACGACGTGAACATCGACGGCAAACGGTTTGGGGTGTCGGGCAACAAGCAGGATGTGTTCGATAATCTCGTGATGAAACGTCGCTACGCCATCAGCTTTGACATGTTGCTGCTGGAGGCGGAGGCACGCGCCTCCAGCGCCGGCAAACAGGCGTACATCCACGTCGTCGGCTTCGGCCTGGGCGTGTGGAAGGTGGCACCGCAGCAGGAGCAAATCTTCCTGGAGACCTTCGAGCAGCGTTTGCGCGTGCTCAGCGCCAGGCTCACCCACATTGGTGTCGTCCACTTTTCGTGGTTTAAGCTGGAACGCTGCGGCGGCATTCACAATGGCGCCATAATCAAGTCCTCGCACCATCCGGACGGCGGTATTCGTGTGCATCTGTCGAAGCGCAATCCGGCCCAGAAGTTGACCATGCCGGAGCACGCCAACATGCTGCTTGTCGTATCCTATGCCTGGGATGGCAATGCCTTGCCCGGCAATGAGTTCTGGATGGTAAGTAGGCCACCATAGCCATTGCTGCTCCAATGATCCTCGACGATCTTTTGTCTCTTCGCGGCAGAAAATGCTCAAGTCAACGGGCGACTCATCCACGGCCTGCTCCACCCTTATCGCCGAGCTGCACAATCCCCACATCAACGACGACTACTGCAATGGCCGTAATCTGCATATTGTCTCGCCCAAATACGGCGTGCTCCACATATCCGAGTATGCCAAGCGTGTGCTGGAGACCAAATCTGCTTAGATGTACCTCACACCCAATCAAAAATAACTCTATATTATGTATATAAATGGCATTGTAAATATAATGACTATATGGGCGTGCATTATGTACAGACTTAAGACAGTTAAAAGACTAAATTTAATTATTTTTTGTTTGAATTACTTTTTATCTAGACTATCAAATACTCAAACCAGACAGCCGCTAAGCTGATGAATAGGTTTGTATCTTTGCTGACTCTAGGACCACGAACATTACACGAAATACAACACTGCCTAAAAGCGTTTTTATAAGTAAAGCTTAGCTGCTGAATTATAAATACAAATGCGTGTGCGTGTCTTTGCTAACTTTGAGCTAGAAAGTCCTTTGACATTAATTGAATTTCCTTGAGTAATATATTTTCCTTGTTTTGGTTTATAAAAAATATTCTACACTTCTAAAACAAGAGTAATTGCTGTAGCAGAGCTATTATTGCCATAGTAGGTGCGTGTCTTTGCTAGCTGTTAGAAAGTCCTTCGATACAGTTTCGCGATAATGAATTTTTTAAAATTATCTTGTGTATCGAGGCATACATTAATAAATAAAACACATGTATGCCTGAAATATAAATAGAGTAGCTATAATTACATTTATTGTGCTATTTTGGCTGGCTATTAGATATTATAAGCTTACTGAATTTCCTACAATATTTATGTATTTCACCAATTTGTACTAATTAAAATATTTATCACATATGCAAACCACACACGCAATAAATACGTATTATGGTTGCTGCAGCTAATATGGAGAGCGTGTCTTTGCTTGTTCAACAAAATAATGACGTTATCAGACAAACTTCGCCTTATAAAAACCGGAAAGCAGGACATATAAATAATATGCCTAGCAAGCCGGTGCTTGTCTATGCTAAGCAATTCGCCGTGGTCAAGACGGGGCTCAATCAGTTTTATAGCAAGTGTGGCCCTGCTAAAATCCTATTTGCTATAAATGGAATCGATGCATCCACACGGACAATAAATTTATAAGAGTAGTTGCCAGCTAATACAGGGTGCGTGTCTTTGCTGGCTCAACAATATATTCACAACTTATAAGACAAACATCCTCTTAGAAATATCGGGAAGTATGGGGTTTGTGCCAGAGCTGGTCTAAAAACAAGCCGGTGCGTGTCTACGCAACGCAATTCGCCGTGGCCTAAACGGAGCTAAGCCAATTTTATGGCAAGTGTGCCCTGCTAAGATCCTAGTTGCTATAAATAGCATCGCTCAATGCGGGCAGAAGCTAAGCTGCCGTATCACCCGGCTCTGAAATAAATCTGCACTAATGTCTGGTTTCTTTTTTATTAACACTTAGTAGATGAACTCATAGGATTGTGCAGCGGCGTCTCGTCGGGGTGGGCGTGTCGAATGCTGATGCGTTGGCGTCCTTTTTCAGGGCGCGATGTGACCTCACCGCTGGACTGAGCCGCCGACTGCTGGACTAGCTAATTCTTCTCGCTGCCTGGACTCTTTTTCGGCATGAATATCTCCAGAATGCGAAGGAGCCGTGACCGCGGCGTCGGCCCCTCCTCCTCCTCCTCCTCCCCCTCCGCCACTGCCTGCGCCATCTCATCTACCTGCTCCTCCATCTCCTCCGCATCCTCGCTCGCTTCTTGTGGGGCATTGTGCAATATCACTGTCAGGTCACTGTGTGGCGACAAGGAGTCGGGTATCGGTAATATCAGATAAGGTAAGTTCTTAATACGCGACTTCAACAACTCACTGGGGGAGGCATCCTCCTGGCGCGCCTGTATGCGGGTTGCGCCCGGAGCACGTGAGACTATCGGCTGCACCCGTATTGTGTTCGGCAATCCTGCCCGTGCCCCAGCCAATCCAGTCTGACCCTGTTGCGGTCGCAAGGACTCGGGCCTCACCCGCGAAACGGGCTGCGTCCTTGTCGCCTGGACGGACCCCTTGGGCGCGCCAGTGCCGGTGCTGTCCCTCGGGTTGCCCCAGACTCCTCTCCATGGCTGTCGCTTCGGGAGTCTGCCAATGGCGGCAGCAGCGCCGGACGGCTGAGGGTGCTCGCCCAGCGGCTGCTCAGACCCATCGTCCATGATGAGCGTCCTGCTGCGCGTCAGTTTGATGAATCTCGGCTCCTGTGGCTTGAGCGGCGAAATGAAGCGGGCACGATTCCCGGTAAACAGGTTCGACTGCCCGATCCCGATGGGCATGAAGCCGCGAGCCGCAAATGGATCATATTTGGGAGGCATCCCCTCGAAGTTCCTATCGAAGAATAGCTTGAACCACTGGGCGAAGGCGTAGTTGTCCTGGAAGCGTCCCTTCACCAGCAGCTCGATGTCAATGGGCGTGTTGACGTTCACCGCATTGAAGCTCTGCTGGAGCACGCGAAAGTTCTCAATGAACTCCACCGACTGATTGCAGACGAACTTCACCCTGTTCATGCGGACAAGGCCCGGGAACAGAATGTCCATCAGGCAGCAGTAGGCGGCGCCCGTGCACAGCTCCTCGATCTTCTGCACCTCGCTCTTCAGGGTCTTGTTGATCCACGAGATGATGTACAGGCGCGACCACTGCTTCGAGTTCCGAGTGCAGACCACGTTCGTGGCCCTCAGACGGTGTGGCGCCATGACTCGAATGGATACGCTGTATCTATATATCACTGGACCGTTAATGGTTTCGGCTTGAAAAATACTCCAGGAGGTCGAATTTACTCGTATAATCCTTGAAGAGCTGTAGAAGAGAAGGAGTTGTCAGAGATAAGCATTCAATTCTCTCTCTCTCTCTCACTGCACTCACCTCAACTTGTTGTTGTGCCGTGTTGTTGGTCCGAAACGATTCAATCATTAGATATATCCGATATATATTTGATATATCCCTACACTATCGACTATAATAGTTAAATAAATCTATATCAAAAACTTGCTATAAAAACTTGTATTGAAAGCCTAAAATGTAAATGACTTATCCCAAATTTCTATCCGAAAATAAGATTCGAAATATTTGATATATAGTGAGATTCCAATTGCTGCGACTGGCGTTGCCAAATTCTGCAAATGTAAGCGAAGGTTTCAGATTAGTATATTGTTATAGTATTGTAAATGTAGATATATATCCCCCCCTGCCCCCTTGGAATGACCCACTTTCCCCATTTGCCGAAGCAACGAATTGCACAAAAATATACAAATAAATATTTGTTCTGCCTGGAATAGATTTCTAAGTAAATATTCCAAATGGCTGCAATAACTGGTTAGCCTATTGCCCTCTCTCTCTCGCTCTCTCTCGCCCTCTCTCTCTCTCTCTCTGCCTAAGCAACTTTTTGCGGTTGACCGACCAAATTGTTGCGAATGCAATTTAATTGTAAACCATTCCCGAGGCTCTCTTCAAGTCAAGCCTCGCCACGCCCACACTGCCGCCCCCAGTGCCGCCCACCTCTGGCTATCTCTCATCTTTTGGTTGAGTTTGCTTTGTTTGCATTTGGCTTTCACTTCTGTTTGTATTTATAAATTTTAATTGATTGCATTCAAAAACAGAAATTCAATTTCCATTTCAGCCCTCGCACAGAGGGGGAGTGAGCGAGATGGCGACAGCGGGTGGGAAAATATAAATATGTATGTATATGTCTATTTGCACGCACTTCATCTGCCATTTGGTAAATGCGACTCTTTGTCGCCTCGCCGCGTCATAAAAACTAAAGCACTAAACACACCTGCTCATTGTAAACACCTGCTCCACCTGGCTTGACCCGGCCCAATCGATATCTGGCACAATTTAACATTACTATTTAATGGGCATTTATGCAAAGACTAGCCCTAGTTTAGCTGGCGTCACCTTACAAATCCTATACTCGCACTCCTATAGCTGATCCCAGCTCTTTAAATAACTTCCCCGATCGAAATTCACCTCTACTAGAGACTCATATCTATTTCTAGCCAACCTCTACTCGAAACTCAAAGCGACCCTCTTCTTAAGGCCTCCCTATTTAAGGTCTACTCACTCCACCTTTACCAAACTCTCTTCTGCTCTAGACTCTTTCCCCTTCCAGAATCAACCTCACTTCTGTTCCACACTCACTCCTATTCCATTCTTACTTTTTATCTTGTCTAATTTAGCTCCTATTCCAGATTCTTTCGTATTCCAGACTTACTTCTATACCAACCTCACTATTATTCCAGGCTGACTTCTAATGCTAGACTTCTATTCTAAACTCTTTCCTATCTCAGTTTTATTCCAAGCTCATTTGTATGCCAGACTCACTCCTATTCCATTCTCACTTTTATTCCCGACTCACTTCTGTTCCAATCTATTCCAAACTCCTATTCCAGATTCTTTCCTATAGCAGACCCACTTCAATAACAACCTCACTGTTATTCCAGGCTCATTTCTTCCAACCCTTTTTTATACCAGACTCACTCTTATTCTAACCTCACTCCAGACTCTTTCCCATTCCAGACCCACTTCTTCCAATTTCCAATCACCATTATTTCAGGCTCAGCTCTGTTCCAATCTAGCTCCTATTCATAACTTAATTCTATACTAACCTCACTATTATTCCTGACTTATATTCTAGACTTCTATTCTAAACTCTTTCCAATCTCAGTTTTATTCAAAGCTCACTTGTATTCCCGACCCACTTCTGACTCAAAATCTTTCTTATTCCATATTCACTCCAATTCCAATCTCACTCCAGACCCACTTCTTCCAATCTCCGATCACAATTATACCAGGCTCACTCCTGTTCCGATTTCACTCCTATTTCAGACTCACTTCTTATTCGAACTCTTTTCCATTTCAGATTCACTTATATACCTCATATAACCTCAATTCTTTTCTAGACTTAATTCTTTTATACCACACTCACTCTTATACCAATCCCGCTTCTGTATGAATCTCACTTTTATTCCAGGGTCATTTTCATTTCAGGTTAACTTCTGCTCCAGATTTTCCCCAATTCCAATCTAAGTCTTATTCCAGACTCACATCTATACCAATCTCATTTCTGTTCCAGCTTTACCTCTATACCAACCACACTTCTGTCCTAAACCTACTTCTTCTATAACAGACTCACTCTTAAATCGTATCTTTTGTCTACCAAATTCTCTTCTATACCAATCGCGCCTCTGTTCCAAACTCTTCAGCTAGCTTAGCCCAGTTGAGGGTCGAACCACCGACCAGTGAAGCTCTATGAATTTCGCACTTCAATACTCACCAGAAAAAAGTTTAAATTTGCCTAATCGAAATATTTTATGTGCACGAAAATGAATGTTGAAAATAAATAAATAAAAAATTTTGTTTAGAGCTGTGTATTTCTCTATGTTTCCTTGTAGACTGAAATAAAAATGGAGCTGCCCGGACTGCCTAGGAAAATCTCAGTGACAGTTAGGTCAATGCTCACTTGATCGAGAAATTTTCCGACGTCCCCTTATGCCAACTAACCGAAATTAGGAGAACCCGAAATATATATGAATTTCACACCTTTAATACTCACCAGATGAAATCGAATTGTCGAAAAATCTAACTATTTGAATGTGAGCGAAAATAAATGTTACAAAAAAAAAAATATATATATATATAAAATATATATATAATATAAAATTTTGTTTAGAGCTGTGTATTTCTCTATGTTTCTTTGTAGACTGAAATAAAAATGAAGCTGCCCGGACTGCCTAGAAAAATCTCAGTGACAGTTAGGTCAATGCTCACTTGATCGAGAAAATTTTCAATGATTTTGCGACGTCCCTTTATACCCACTAACCGAATCGAGGAGAGCCCGAAATATATATGAATTTCACACCTTTAATACTCACCAGATGATATCGAATCGCAAAATCGAACTATTTGAATGTGAGCGAAAAAAAATCTTACAAAAAAAAAATATATATATATATTTCTAAAATTTTGTTTAGAGCTGTGTATTGCTCTATGTTTCTTTGTAGACTGAAATAAAAATGGAGCTGGCCGGACTGGCTAGGAAAATCTCAGTGACAGTAAAGCCAATGCTCACTTGATCGAGAAATTTTGCTGATTTTCTGACGTCCCTTTATACCCACTAACCGAATCGAGGAGAACCCGAAATATAAATGAATTTCACACCTTTAATACTCACCAGATGAAATTGAATTGTCGAAAAATCTAACTATTTGAATGTGAGCGAAAATAAATGTTACAAAAAATATATATATATACAAATATATATTTATAAAATTTTGTTTAGAGCTGTGTATTTCTCTATGTTTCTTTGTAGACTGAAATAAAAATGGAGCTGCCCGGACTGCCTAGGGAAATCTCAGTGACAGTTAGGTCAATGCTCCTTTGTTCTGGGCATTTTCAGTTGTTTTGATATCATACAGCAATTTCAATGCCCAACTGATTGACTATATATTTACATGCCTTACTAGACATGGATATGTCGTAACATTCATATTATTCTCGCTTTCCATTGTAGCTCTGCACAAGAACAAGTTTCTTGATTCGTCAGCTCTTGCTCGTTCCACAGCCTTGAGCCCAGACACTTTTCTGAGAGGTTCTGTGAAGCTCTATTGTTCTGGTTTCATTGCTCTTGATTAACGAAATTACTGCAGCCCTAGACTCTCCTATATAATATAAGCAAAGGCGCTGCGAGAGGGTGCTGAATGAGGTATGACACCGTCTCCTTCCCAGTTCTGCCAGAGTCGACAAATCAACAGATTTGATTGACTTTTGTCTGAGCCCATTGAAATGTACATACATATATATTTATAATACGGTATATGTCTATTTTTTATACCCTGAACGCATTGAAAATGGGAAATCAGGGTATAATGGTTTTGTTAAAAGTATGTAACAGGCAGAAGAAGGCGTGGCAGATCCCACAAAGTGTATATATTCTTGATCAGGTTGACGAGCTGAGTCGATTTAACCCTGTCCGTCCGTATTTATGAACGCGTCGATCTCAGAAGGTATAAGAGTTAAAGACTTGAAATTTTGGATCCTAGGTCCGTGTATACCAAGCGCATATCGAGCTTTTCTCTATCGATAAAAACTCCAGATATTTTATTATCGATTAAAAACCTTATCGAAAGCTAGTTATTTAGTTATATTTCCTATACCTTTTAAAGTTAGAGCTTCCAAATTTTAACTGTACTTACGTGTACTTTATATAATTTCGATTTTTGTTGTAGTGGGTGTTTATGCTTGCATTCCTACGTTTTTCTGTGTGTGAGTGTGTGTGTGTGTTTCTTGAGTAAGCAGAAAGACGCGACGAATTATTGTGAAATATCAATTCCTTGAAGGGTTCAGGGGACTTTGTAGTCGAGCAGTCTCGCCTAGGGTTTTCTTCACTTGTTTTATTTATTGAATTCTGTAATTTCCAAATGAATCACCATTCGGTAATCAGGATATTGATTAACCCAATAACAAATATTAATTTATTTTGTGGAATCTACATGCAATCATTAAATACACGAGGAAAGGGGGCGGTTCAATAAAAATCATCCCGCATTATTGACATATGCGTATAAGGGCTGACTAGATATGCATGCATGTATATGTATGTGTTTATTGTGTAACTAAATAAAATCGCCAATTCCCCAAATTGCGGAATATTTGCGGTCAATTGGTATTCCCCTGTTTACCCTGGATCGCAGCTTGATCAAACGGCATATTAAATGCATTGTTTGTACTACAGCACACACACACACACACATACACACACATGCATAGGTGTTTGATTTGCTGCATAAATCGAGACGAGCGAAATGTGGAATTTATTGTGGGGCACGTTTAAAATATTTCATTTTGTTTCAAATAAAAATGTGGTAAATTCATTGAATGTC